TTGATTTTCGAGAAAATAATTTGTCAAATATCTTGTTAGCGACGTTTAGGAGAAAACTGATTCATGCAAAAGATAGATAAATTAATGCATAGAAAAAATATATGTGTGTAAGTGTTCGTTCGTGTTTGTGTGTTTATATATATATACATATCTATCTATCTATCTATCTATCTATCTATAATATGTTTGTGTTAAATATACGTATGTGTAGATACGAAGTTAAAAGTCAATAGTAAAAGGAGGAGACAAGGACAATTCAGTTTTCCTAACAGAAATACTGTAGAATATTATCAACCTTCATAATAACGTTGGGTGTGGCTAAAGCGAGGATTAATTTTAAAAGTTACATGATGATTTAATCACAGCAGATGAGACTATTTGACCCTTCTCGCTCACTCTTCCGCGTTGAAAAAAAAATCAGGCAAGGACACACTTTTACATGCTCTATCCCTCTTTTTTATTATTTCTTTTACATTACTCTCACTCTCGGTCGCAGTCTCTTCAATCTCTCTCTCTCGTACTAACACACACGCACGCGCACACACACGCACACACACACTCACCCCCCCCCCCAACACTGTCACTCACCTCACTCACACACACACACACACATTCACACACATACAGGTGTACATTCAAGGTTACATAGAAAGTGACAGCTAGATAATTGAGCAAGCACATATTCACATATATTTCTTCGCTTCACACCGTTGCCACAGAGAAATTACCTTGCACTCGTTATATGCACATGTGCTATACAGGTCTAGTTAGTTAAAAAAAAACGTGTGATCAGACATAACTTATCGAAATATACCTGTGAACTATTTTGATTTTTAGTAAGAAATAAGTTGAGCTTTATATACGAAAGTTAGTTACAAAGCCGTTAATCTGTATAATCAAACCGGTTCATTTGGATAACACAGATCATGAAGGCTCTGAGTCTGAGTGAAATGAGTATCTGTGAGTAAATAAAGTTATTATTATATGTATGAGGAAGTTAACATGGTGTTAGTACAAAAGACTTAGTTTATGCTTTTAGTGTTCTCCCCCGGCCTCGTTAATCACAAAGACGATCAACAGTTTAGAGTTTAACGAAGACGACCTTCGATACAGATACATACACACAGCATAAAGACATAAAACGAATACACGGTGCATTGTCCCTCCATCAGGACCCTACTCACAAGCCTCCTCTTGGCTACACACGGAAACGGGATCCTCATGAACCTATCAAGCCACTCACTCCGACTACACAGGTGTCTCGAACAAGCGCGAGCGGGCTGATACACCACAAGAGAGAGTTAGGTAGGTGCTAATATTGTAAGCGCAGTGAATCCAAGAAACATTACTCGAGTCAATAGAAATGCATTCCGCGCGTGTCGAGTCTTATCTCATCTTATGCTGATGGTTTTCAAAATCACGACCGCAGGGTACGGGATGCGCGAGTAAATGCATATACGCTTTTATAGTAAACTAATATAAGACCTACTACTGAGACCATAAATAAGGAAATATGCCAGCTCGTAGTGTAAGGAGAAGAGTATCGGCAGAGCCAATATTATTTCGGACCCACGCCACCTACCAAAACCTGCGGCCACAATTCAAAGAGACACAACTTAATGCAATTGAGTACTCTTCAGAGGTAATGTCTGTAGATGTGGTGTAGCAATAGCGAAGTATATGTATATAATAACGAAATCGGCAACTGAACTGTGGTTTATAAGATGCACAGAACTGTCCGTGTTTATATAAATATGATTGATCAAATATGGAGTAAGAGAAGAATGAATAAAAGTGAGTAGATAGAAGAGAAAGACGCCGATTACAACCGTAAATAAGAGGTAGCGAGGTGTTTGCTCTCATGGTACCTGATTATTCGATATCGAGGGAGCGTACCGCGTGTGAGCTTCGGATAAGATGTTTATATAGTATGCCAAACATGGTATGGACACTCGGCGAGTAGGCTATGTAAACATACACAATAATAAATATACACATACGGAGCACTCGTCCTCGGAGAGAGCGGGATAAATTACGCACAGAGGTGGAGAGCCGAGATCTCGACAATGGCAGATAGGACAGAAAAGCAAAAAAACGTCGGAAACTGGTGAGCGCACGAGTAAATGAGAGCACGAGTAGAAGGCTCGAAGAGAGTAAGGATTACGAAGGTATAAGTAACTCAGAGCGTTATAATAAACACAGCATAGGGTGTATACGAGTGCGTTAAAAAAATTAGCATTTATTTTTCCGCAGTTTCGGAATGTGAGTGATGCTGGTCAGTATCATTGTAAATAGGTGAGGATGGGATGACGCTCCCACTGACTTGAATTCGAGTTAGTTACGGTCCGGAGAAGGAGTGGTGTAGGGTATGTTGCATTTTTTGAAGGCAAAGATTACGTGACGCAGGGCACAGGTAGTGTAATAGGGCAACGAGGAAGTTTTTGTGTTAGATTGGATGTGTGAAGAGTGAAGGTAATATTGTGTGAAGTAGGAGAGAGATAGACATGAGATAAGAAGAGACAGAATTTATTCTATATACTTGTAGTGAGATTGGTTAATACTTCGGAAGAATTTCACTTTGGATAGAGAGATGTTATATAGCGCGCCTTAGAGTTGATTAGATAAAATAAAAGAGATTAGAGCAATATAAAAAGACGTATAATGATTAGTGATTATCTCAGACATAACCGCTGCAATCAAGACTTAATCACAGTTCCCGACGTGAGTGCCGATACTCACGGAATGGGAACGTTACCAGCAATTAGAGCGCCATTTTTTATAAAATTCAGATCTCTATAATAAGGAAAACGGAGTAGATCTTTCGGGTCGTATCTGCAATACACAATGATACTCATGTGTACCACCTGCACAACTATGGCGAACATCATTACTATGGTAATGTAATACGTTGCCAAACATCTCTTGAGTGATATTGATATTATGCAACTGCTCTTTGTCATGTTATGCGCAATGGCGGTTTTAGCTCTTTTCGTACCTCGTCAGTAATGGGAGTCTTAACCGCAGCCCGTATATTCTTTAAGAACGGATGCGTGTACGCGGCGGTAATTCGGTGCGCTAGCAAATCACACGGGAAGAGCGCGTAAAAAGGATGAGAGCTCCGCCGTCACTGAAACACACTCAAGTGGTGTCATGAGTAACTGCGAAGGCGAGGTCGCGTATGCCTGCTGAGATGCGTCCAGGCGTATAGGACCAAATCACCTCTATAGCGGCGGCTGGCGAGTCTGATATCAAGTAAATGGCGCCGAAATAACCGCGTCTTAAGCGTAGTATGAAAACGAAACAGCTAGCGAGGCGGAGAGGCTTCCATTCTAGTCTACTGTATAAAAAATATTTAAAACGTGCGATAACTTCTTGTCATTCGCTGTTTGTTCTGACGCGCACACGTCTTGTGGTAACCGACGCGGTGCGAGAGCGACTCCAGTCATGACGACACCGGATGATGTTGCGATGATGAGCAGAGTTCGCAAGCGGCTCTGAAGTTGCTGCCGAACAGCTGCTTAGTTTCGTGCGTAAGCGAGGAGTTGTGTGTGCTTTAGTAGATGGGGGGTGTTCGGGATTGTATGTGCAGTTGCGCAATGCGGATTGGGGTTGTTGTCTATCCCTTCTCTGGCAGTTGCTGTAGGAGCTATGTAGTGTGTAATGTGTGTTGTGGTGTGGTATGTGTACACTTTCGTTGTTGTGTGCAGTGTGTGTGTGTGTGTGTCACTAGCGAAGGTTTGTTGCATCGTGATGCTACACTGTAGATCGTGTAGCAAACGTTAGAACGATCTGTATAGGAGGGCCCAGTGCTTATTACTGTGATGTACTGCAATAGGTAATGTGTGCTGATGACTACCCAGGTCGGAGTGAGCTCTAGCTATCAACGCATATTACCCTATGTGTGCGAACTTGTGTGTGTGTTTGGTGTGTTTATTTGCTGTGTGTGTGTCCCGCTGGCTTCACCGAGGGGGCAGCACTGCACTACCCAAACAGTCTATACTTGCATTCTATTTACAATGATCGTACAGCAGATCATCTCGATTCTATCCTATTGTGAATCACCTAGAACACAGCTCACCATCTCTTTAAACGCGTAAACAAACTGTAATGGAGCTGTCTTTGTATGGGTGTGCCCGAGTACAATGTCGGCTGGTGTGTTCGTGTGTGGGATGTCGCTGTGTGTGATGTGTGGTGCTGTGTGGTGTGGTGTGTGTGTGATATCTAGTGTATGGAAGATAGGTGTGTGTGAAATGAGATTGTGTGGTTGGGTTGAGTGAGTGATTATGTGTTAGAGTGGTAGAAAGAAACCTCGTGCGTGTGTGTGTGTGTGTGTGTGTGTTGTGTGTGTGTGAATTTGTCTAATGTTGTGAATTCACTTGTGTAACTGGTATTTTTGTTTTTTATTCCATCTATTTCATATCCCGCTGGCGGCTACATTATTGATATAAGGCAAGATTACATAGTAACGTATATCTATAGCTACAAAAGTAAAACATAGTGACTCGAGAGTAAAAACTATATGAGGTGAGGTTAGATGTATATGTTGCCAAGACGTCATAAAAATCTATATAACAAGAGTTAGACGAGGAAGAAGAAGTGTAAACGAAGAAAGGAAAAGCTCATTAAAGTCTTATTCTAGCATGAAACCTATACTGAGTTTCAGTGATATCTATGGGAGATTTAATTCATTAATTTCTCTTTTTCTTTCTTTTATGGAATTGGGAGTACATAAACATAGATATGTAAATTATTTAGAGCCTTTATTTTTTTAATAACTATGAGGGCGGTTTAGACAAGCATATACGCGGTCCTAATAATAGTTCACAGGGGTTTGAGTTAAGGATGTTTTCATTGATTTTCCTTTGTTTTAATTTCAGAATGAATATTTGTCTTATCTACCGTGGTGCGCGTGCATTTTTCTCTACTAGGCCAGGGCATGACTATAATACATTTCCGGCACTACAATTGGTGACGGTGGGCTATTGTCTTCCTCACCTTAC